AGGGGTGGTGGGGCTGGGCGTTTTCACATCTTCTGCTCCGGGACTTGTACTTCCTGGTCTGGAGGCGTCTCCTCTGGGCAGCGAACCCTGAGCACCGGGCAGCCCGGCATCTCCATTCCACGTCTTCCAGGATGGCGTCCTCAGTCAGAGACGCAGGGAGGCCAGACAGGCCTACAGGAAGTCCAGTTGCTCTCAAGCCACCAAAACAAAGGAAAGTCTTCCGGGCACAGCCTTCCCGCCGGCCCCACCAGCCCCAGCCCGGGGTCGCAGTCTCGTTTCTGGCTGAGACCCAACTGCCAGCTCGCAGTGCAGGTCTAAAGCCCGGCTGGGCTTTTCGGGCCCCTTCCTCCCAACCCTGGCCATGGCCAGCCCCTAGGAGACCGCCCCCGCCTGCCACCTGCCGCGTCTTCCCGGCCTTTCAGTCAGTCCGTTAGCGACGACAAGTGCCCCCGCTTCTGTCACACATGTCTGCGTCCCGTGTCCTGATGAGATCAGCCTCTCTCGGATTTGGGACTGAGCCCAGGGCTTGGGGTGGACAGACTCTTGCTCTGCTGCTTAGTGGCGCGTGACTTTTGGAGCATCCACTTAACGCTCTGGGCACGGAACCGGCACCGTCCCCCATGGAGGTGGGAGAGTCCACGAGACAGTGGGGGAGCCCTTGCAATGGTGGGCCACGTGCCTGTGGCCGCTGGTGTCCTTGCGAGGGGATCTGTGCACCTGGACATGTGCCAGTCCCTCACGTTGCCTCCTGTTGGCCCAGCGCTCAGGTGGCATGTGGCCAGAGGGACCCTGCCCAGCCGGCAGATGCTTGAGCAGCCCTGGCAGATTTGGGCGTCTGGAGGGCAGCCTGAGGTCCTTCCTGCCCAGCCTGTGCCCACGGCCCTTGCAAACCTTCCCTCCCTGCCCCCTACCCGGGATCTCGGCGGCCTGCACTGCCCCCGCCCCTCAGCCTGGCCAGGTCTGGCTCCCACTTGCTCCCTCCAGCAGTCACCAGCCACCAGCCTCCTGCTCATCCTCCTGGTCCAGCCATGAAGGGCCCTCGGAACTCTGTTCCCTGGAGACCAGACCCCACCAGGCCCTGCCCACCCTCGGGTCCCAGGCTCCGGCCACGCCTGCAGGCGGGATTCATCCCGACAGCCAGGCTCAGGCCTCAGGGTGGACACCCGCCTCCCCCACTCCCGGACAGCCTAGCGAGGCTCAAGTGGGCCGCGCTCCCGGCCAGCCTCACCCCCACAGCCTGGCTTTGCATCCCCTCTTGTCTGGCACGGGTCGATCCGGGGAACACTGGTCAGCCCCCGCTGTGCAGGGCGTTGCTGGGTGTGCGGGGTCCAAGTGATGGGGAGAGGAGGCAGTCCCGACCGCCAGCGCGGTCCTGCGGCCGTTCCCAGAACATTCCAGAAACAATACCCTCCCTATCCCTTGGGACGTTCTGTCCCATGTCTGGAAAACCCTTCAGCCGGGGTCACGGCAGAGGCAGAGCAGCTGAGGATGGCCGAACACGCTTGGGGCGTCTTTCTGGCGTCCTCAGTGCCTGTGCATGTGAGGGTCAACATTGGGCGTTGGAAGGTTAAAACACCAGGCGGCATTGTTTGGGGGCTGCTGCCCGGGGTGCCTGTGAGCAGAGAGGGCCGGGCCATGGGCAGAGGCATGCGCGGAGTCACGCACCCACTGTTGGCCCGTGCCACGAGAGTCCTCCTTTCCAGCGGTCTTCCCGCTTCCTTCCTGCGAAGTCTATTTCTGTCTCTAGCTCCGGTCCTGCCCCTGGGGACGGGTCACGCACAGGCGGCTGGCGGCGTGTCCGCCCTCTCCTCGGTCTCTGCCCCTTGAACTCTGGCCTCTCCTTGCCCCCTTTGTGTTTCCCTGTGATCCGAGAATGTCCTGCTTTTGCCTTGCCGTGTGGGTGGGTCCTTCTGTAGGGTCCAGTGTTACCGCGTGTGTCTGGACTTCCAGATTCCCCGCTCACAGGTCCCGGACGGAGGCTGTGATTTTTAGTTTGTTTGTTTTTTTTTTGAGTCGGAGTCTCACTCTGTCGCCCAGACTGGAGTGCAGTG